GACAAAGATATTGTAAATCATATTAGAGAAAGATAAAAGAGTGAACAGAGCGGAAATGACATTGTCGGCGTGGATCATGGGAAGGCTACCAAGATTCCCCATCCTTGAGCATCGAACGTTTTCAGCGCTACCGGTGGTTTTATTTGGCGTTACTACATTTTTTTTTAACATGTATTACGTATCTTTCTAATATCTTTGTATCGTTCATGGCCAAACTTAATAAATTTATGGATTATTATTGCCATAATGCATTACGACTCTATGATAAGGCAACTTTGGCGATTGTGTGACGCTGATACTAAGAATAAGCTGATGAGACAGTCATGCTTCGTGATGGAAACGAGAACGAGCACCAATCAGCTGAAAGTTACGAAAGCGTTTTTAATGCCACGTCACTTCGTTAGTGTTCGAGCTGGYACAAACGCACAATTGCCCGATTCAGTATTTCGATTAGGTCAGAGGCTCAACCTATTTTAAGTTGATAAAATTCGAACGCTTTATAATCGAATAAATTGTTCCATTCATCAGTCAATCAATAACTACAAGTGACAGAACGATGTATTTGGAGGGCATTGATTAAGTTAAATTCCTAATAGGGAATGGGTTTTTAAACACGTGGTAAGTGAACCAATTGTACGAATATAATACCTATATAGTGGCTACATATTATTAATAGTAATAACTGCGGCTTAATTAATTTTGARTCCTCAAATTAACAAAATAATTTTATGTCCTAAGTGGAGCGACGAGTATTGATTTTACAAGTATGTGTAAGTATGTACACGATAAATAGTCTATATAATATTATAGCTTTAGGTAGTATCTGGACAAAAAATTGGATTTTGTTGGTGCTCTTAAAGAGTACCACATAACATTTATCAAGTAAAAATATATTTAATCAAAAATTACATGTAACTGAATAACAAACAACCGTAAATACTTAATACGATTTTTCCCTCCTAAAATGTCGGTAAAAAAAAAATTTGCACAATGTCTGAAAATTTTGAACCAGTCGTTGGATCGCTGCATAACTTCCCACCAACTGAGTGAGCGTCGTCCTCACAACATTGTTTTTTTTWATTATTCTTTAACGTGTTAATTTCAATTATCATAGAAYAAAAATCAACACTGAGGTGCTTATATTTTATTTGTTTTTAAAATTCTATTTTCTTTTACTTCACTCTTTTTTTACACCCATAATATCGTCCATTAAATACATAAAATACAGTGAAACCTCTAAATACCAGACACTCTCGGTCGCTTAAACGTCGTCCGCTATTTGGAGGTGTCTGCTATTAAGAGGGGAAATATATTGAGTACACATTTCACYGTTCCCAAAATTCTGTCCRTTATTTGGAGGTATCTGTTAAAGGAGGTTTCACTGTATATAAATTGAGATATAATATTATTCATTTAGGCAGAATGTTATGTACCAGTCAGTGGCCGGCACAACCAGACACTGATAACTATTAGAGTTACTAAATTATATTTGTCAACTCATAGATTGAAGGTATTAATAGTATTACAGAACTCAAGTAATATATGTGGGTCTCAAAATATTAACTAAGTGAGCGCTACGCTCATCACAATACCAATGAAGGGGGTTAATATACTTCTTAAAAATAATTTTTTTATAAATGTTTAAACTAAAATTTCTGATGAAAATCTAAATCATAAAAATTCACACATTTTTAAGACATACTTATAGATAMAATATCAATAGTTCTCTAATTGTGTAATTAGTTGGGTATAACTTCAATTTTTGTTTGATAAAAACAAATTGTAATTATAAATACTTAACAATTTCACCAGT